GTCAAGGAGCGTCTCACGGTAGTCGAAAAGCTTGGCGCGCCTATGATAATATGGTGCTTATAAGCATGCTGCATATCGTTGGGTAGAGTAGATCGAGTTGCGTACATGGAGAAGAGGACTTCCTCGTCTTCCTCACCCGAGACGACCTCGACTTCGTTGAGCTTGACGACGGGCTCGAAGTAAGCCTGCGGCTCCTCCGACTCGCCCGTCTCGACGCCGGCGTCTTCGTGGTCCTCGGCCTCCTCGGCGGCGACCGCGGCCGCAGTCTCGTGCTTGACTTCTTCAGTGGACATGTTGCTCCTTCGCGTTGAAATGAAAAATACTATCGGCTGATACAAACGCCAAGTATCAAAATCCCGCCGCCGCCGCCGCCTCTGCCCCAAAAGCGCAAGCCAATCCTCGCATTGATTTCGCGACATTTCTGCCAATCAAACGCGCGTATTCCCCCCACCGCTCATATCGGGTTTAAATTTTTGAGCCCCTCGTATTTAAATAGCTTGCCAATTGTATGTAGCGCGGCCTGTGCCTTTTAAATTGGCGGCCGTTGTATTTTTCTCGAAGTCTCTCCCTTCGCGCCGCCACGTATCCGGATGCTCGGGCCTTGGCTAAATGCACGCCATTTGAATCCTACGCTGGTCATGATCTGCTTCACGTGCCAAGAATGGACCCGAGCGCATATGCCGAGAGAGAACATTGGCGTATATTGCTGGAGTCAGCTCTACTCTCTACTCGATAGCATACCACCAAACGTGCAGGCGATATCGTGCTATTCGCGTTACGCTTTGCTGGCATTGAAGGGTTGCAGTCCAACAACGTCATGTACCGTGGGGTTTGTCCCACGTACAGCACCGTTTTCAACCGTCTTTCTTCGCTTACATGTCCCGCCGTCGGTTGAAACACTTGGTGGATCGAGTACGATTCTCGCTCGAGTGCCCAAGCACTAATTGTGCATAGTGTCATTGGGTTGCACGCGCCAAAATCACACCACTTGCTCGTCTATCGCAGACGTGAAAAGGCGTGAGAAGACGACATCATTGCTTTCTCACGTCGTTCATGAGATGAATTGCCACTGCAATAATGCAGCTCAGAGTCTAACTCAGAGTCATCGCCGGAAGTTGGGTAGATTTAGCCTCAATCAAAAAGATCGTCACTTCGTGTCTCGAACCGCGTCCCAGCCGCAAGTTGCACCGGTGAAAACTCAAAATTGAGTACCTTCCGTTGAGCTAAAAAAAGGAAGAATTGAGTTGAGTGCCTAGTCACGGAAGGAAGATTGTATTCGAGCGACGATGCAACTGCCCGTGGGCGTCGAAGACGCGATCTCGCGCGTGCTCCCGTCCGAGGACGTGCTCGACCGCGCCGAGTTTGACTGCGTCGAGTTCATCAACCGCAACTTCCCCGACGAGTCGTCGCTTGCCGACATCGAGCCCTTTGTGAGCCGCCTCAACGGGCGCATGAAGGAGCTCGACGAGAACCTCTCGCACGCATCCCAGGAGCAGTCGCTGGCCGCGCACCAGGCGCTGGCCGACCTCAAGGAGGCGCAGAAGGCAGTCTCGCAGCTCTATACCAAGATCTACGACATTCGCGGCAAGGCCGAGCAGTCCGAGGTCATGGTGCAAGAGATCTGCCGCGACATCAAGCAGCTCGACTACGCCAAGCGCCATCTACAGACATCGATCACGGCGCTAAAGCGTCTGCACATGCTCGTGACGGCGGTCGACCAGCTCGAGTACATGGCGTCGCAGCGGCTCTACAAGGAAGCCGCGAGTCTCATGGAAGCCGTCAACAGCCTCTTTACGCACTTTGAGGGCTACACCAAGGTGAGCAAGATCATGGAGCTGCAAAAGTCGGTCAATGCGATCCGGCTCGACCTCGAGACGCAGATCTTTGGCGACTTCCAGGTCATTGGACCCCTCGCGTCCGTCGACACGATCGCCAAGGACGAGGCCGAGATGCAGCACATGTTCAAGAACCTCACGACCGCGTGCGCTGTCGTGTCGGCGCTCGGGCACGAGACGCGCGCCAAGCTCGTCACGACCTTCTGCACGGAGCAGCTCGTGGTACGACATATCTGATGTCGTCCGTTATCTCGACCTATGTTCTACTAGCCATACGAGAAGGAGTTTGGCGGCAAGGCCCACGCCGGTGGCCTCGGCAACATTGATGCGCGCTTTGCGTGGTTCTTCCAGCTCATCGCGGCCATCGAGACGCGCATGGAGGCCATCTTCCCCGTGCACTGGCAAATGAGTCGCCGCCTTTGCCTCTTCTTTTGCGAACGCACGCGCGTGCACCTCTTGTCGCAGCTCGGCGCCGTCGGCTCGGACGAGCTCGATGTCACGTCGCTCCTCAAGGCGCTTCAAAAAGCACTGCTCTTTGAGCGCGAAGTCGTCCAGCGCTACGAGGTACGAGTCGATCCATCACGAATATGCGTCGCGTCATCCAATCCATTTGCGCAGGGCGAGGCCGACGAGAGCCGCCCCGAGCTCAACGAGAAGGGTCAGCTCATCGACCCGGCGTCCGCTGAGGGGATCAAGCGCCGGCTGTTGCGGCAGAAGCGCGTCGCCGAGCAAAAGGCCATCCGTGCCGAGCTCCAGAAGAAGGCGACGAACGAAGAGCACATGGGCGTGGGCCACGAGCACGAAGAGACGATTCCGTCGCTCCAAGGCGTGCTCTCGCGAACCTTTGATCCGTACATGACGGCGTACGTTGCACTCGAGCGTAAAAACATGGTAGCCTTGATCGTCGTACATTATTGAAAGGTTGATCGAGTCGCGTAGGAAGCGATGCTCCACGAGGTCATGGGATCGGAGCTCGTCGACCGCAACGGCGCATTGCCCGTCTTTTCGTCGTCGGTCAACATGTTTGCGTACATTCGCAACAGCGTCAAGCGCTGTACGGCGCTCACGAACGGCCAAACCTTCTTTGATTTGCATCTCGAGTTCAAGCACTGCGTCTCGCTGTACGCGCAGCGCCTGCTCGCCAAGTTGCCGGCGTTCGCGGTCAGCGACACGGCGTCGGCGACTGCGGCCCGCTGGCGTCTCGCCGACAAGCAAGAGGAAGAGCTCTGTTTTGTCATCAACACGGCCGAGTACTGCGCTGAAACTGTACTGGAGGATTTTCATGCGACATGTCTTCACCCGAGAACGCGTAGCTCCCGTCGCTTGAAGACGTGATCCGCGCCAAGATTGACCCGGCGTACACGGACGCGATCGAGCTCGCCAAGGAGACGGACACGTGCCACGACGTGGCGACCGCGGCCATGAAGTGCATCGTCCTCGGCCTCGACAACCTCCTCGACGACGAGTGGAGCAACATGCAGCGCGTGAATTGGGCCTCGTTTGAAAACGTCGGCGACGAGAGCGCGTACGTCATGGCGATCGCGGACAAGCTCCGGCCGTTCGTCCCGACGCTCCACAGCATGCTCTCGGGCTTGTATTTTACCAACTTTTGCGACAAGCTCGCGGCGGCGGTCGTGCCCAAGGTGCTTGGCAGCATCCTAAAGTGCAAGCGGGTGAGCGCCGTCGCGACGCAACAACTCTTGCTCGATGTGCATGCGCTCAAGATGCTCTTTTTGAACCTCCCGGCCATGGGCCGCGAAGGCGAAGTCGGTGGCGTCACAGTGCCCGCGCGCTACGCAAAGTTTGTCAACGCGGAAATGGCGCACGTCGAGGCGGTGCTCAAGCTCATTGGGACGCCGACCGAGATGCTCGTCGAGAGCTTCAAGATCATGTGGCCCGACGGCAACGCGGCCGACTTTCAGGCCATCTTGAACATGAAGGGGCTCAAGAAGGCCGACCAGCTGGTGCTCTTGGAGCAGCTCGGACTCCAGGCCGCGGTCCCCAAGCAGCGCAGCATGGCAGGTGTCGAAGAAAAAGTGACCGACATGACGGAAAGCTTGAAGACCAACATGCAGAAAATGGCGAAAGCGACCAACCCTTTCAACTACATGGGCTCGACCACAACACAGTAGCACTTCCTCTAAACGTAGCCAACGATGTTGTCGATCTTCATTGGATAGACGTACATACGTACATGCAGTTCCTACTGGCAGGCTGTACCGTGAGTCGATCTTGAGCTCGTACCCGTCTCTCGCATTGCCCTATACAGCTTAGACATTCTGTGTCAACCCGAGATGAGTCCTGCACTGCTTTTGTTTTGCTACTCGAAAGATAGCGGGGTGGTATCATGGCTCAGTTGGATGGATCGGCATGTACGCAGCCAGCATTCCGAGCATTCCGAGGACGTCGATGTGGCTGCTGTCGTGCGGTACGTGCTCGGATCCACCCCTTCTGCGTCGCCACCGATTCCATCACGCTGGGCGATATCGCGTCTACTTCGGGACCAGCTCAATTTCGTCGGGCGAAAATCAGGCCGGCTCGTCATTCGTAAGCGCGACTGCTTTTGTACGCCAAGATGGCCGCATCGGTGGTGTCGCTTGACGCGGTGCACCAAGAGCATGAAGACAGTCGAGACATCGTAGCAGCTACCACAATGACGTTGCTTTGATAGCCTGGTACAACATGTCGCCTGCGTAGATAGCCACTGTGCCAGGTATACAAGTCGACTCTATTCATTGCATGCGTTCGTGTTCGTGAGCTCCATGCGCATTGGAGCAAGAGTGGGTTGCATCTCCGAAGGATTTCGTCGTCAAGCGTTTGCCTGGTGCTTGATGCAAGGAGCCAACATGGTTGTGACGTGGCAGGCTGTGGCGCTGTGATGGAGACGGGAATTCGAGCGAGGCGTGTGCATACACACCACAAGTCAAACCGATCGTGTCCAGTGGGATAGCCAATCACATCGCACGCTTTCCCGAAAGATCGCCAGATTCGTGCGTTGGTTGCGAATGCATTCAATAAACCCGGCATTTGCATACAAAACGCAAGACAAGATTAAAATTCAGAATTACAGGATTCTCAATTCTCGATTCTCAATTCCAGTTTTGGTGATTCGCATATCATTTCGCAACGAGCCCGCCTCTCGACATGCTCT